TTATACACACCTGGCTGGAAATAACCACTTCAATCTAGAGATTATGAGTACAGCAGTGCTGTCAGTACTGAATCCATGAAGGAGGGCTGTGTGTGATGGGCATTAGTGCTGGAAATGGGGAAATACACAGATACCAAGGATTTCATAGACACAAAGATTACTCATTTGCAGTTGTACACCCATCTATAAGTTTGTTATGAATTCAAACATACAGACAATGCTCTCACAGGGTTAAGGAAAATACTGGTAACTTTTATTCACTTCTCTCTTTTCTCACATTTTCTAAATTTTCTTCAGTGAGCACTTTTTATTACTTGGGTAATGTGGTATTAGTCCTCTTAACTGATCCAACCAAGAATAGGAGTTGGATGATTGACACAAATGTTGGATAAAGTAGAAAACCACTAAATATGGTCACTATCATAAACATTAACTTAAAATGCACATTTAAATATACAACTTATTCCTCTGCCAATCTTATCATACAAGGCCAAACCTTCTTCGAATATGGATAGGTTTGAGGTTCCAAATCGTCTTTCTTAGATAAATGATATCACATACATCTATGAATATGAATTCCAACTCCTACTTCTTTAAATTGTAATAGATTCAAAGATACTTATGAAGCAATCTGAGTATAGATTCCATCTAAGATTCTTACTCATTTCTGCCCTGTAACTTAATAGCTGTCGTGTTCACAGTCACCACATTACATCTTTAGGAAACTCTTCTTTATCAAGCCTTTCCAAAGCATTCGACTTGATTTTAATGGGAGTAAGTCCTTTTTTTATACTCATATGTCTTTAGTTTACATACATTTAAATAAATTATGTCCTCATGACAGGTAGTATAACTTATACTAATGGTTTGAAAACAAATAAGTGACCTTTAGCAAGTACACACCTCACCAAGGTGTTAGAAGCACAGCAGCATTCTAGAAAGTAAGTAGAAGCCAAGTGTACATCGTGTGCTGTAGGTATCAGTGGTATGACGGATGGAGGGAATGAAGAAGGGAGACAGAAGGGTTGATGGTGTGCATATTGTTTACATGTTTATGCACTTTCAGAATCTGAAACAACCCTCCACTGTTATTTTCCTTAAGGGAAGAGGCTGTTGGGAAATAAAAAATATGGCTTGAAAGATGCACTGGGGAAGTTCTTCCTAAGCCCATGAACTTGGTGCATGGGTGTGCACTGGAGAACATGGCATTCTGAGTAGCCAAGGGGCATGCGGGGATGGTTTTCACAGGATGCAGCTTCACCAGGAGTCCAGGCTTTAGGTTACACCAAGCAAGTGGTAGGAATGACTAAATGAGGATGTAGTAACCTTCATTCACAGAACGATAATGGTCTCACTGGGTGAAAAGCGAAAAAGGGCAGGAGAAAGTGTACAGATAAAGCTGTGAGTGAGCACAGGAAGAGAGACACGACAGGAGGGGATCTGGCCCGAAGGCAAAACCATGACCCAAGAGGACAAAGAAAGCAGAAGGCCATGAGGTAGCCCACAGACAACAACTTCCAGGTTGTTTAAAATTGTGACTGAACCTTTGCACGTAATCTTCAGCTAGTTTTTGGCACAAAATTTCTGTCTCTCAGAGGAGTGATGCAAAAGTGGAAGAGTATTCCAGGCCTTTAGAAAGGTACACCCCAAAACAGACAACGCTGAGTCCAGGCACGATGGGAGAGGCTGCCAGGAGCAGCGCACACAGTAAGGGCCGGGGTCTTTTTGCCTGAAGAGTCAAGCCGCCCCCCCCCCCGCCCCCCACGCCAACACTGCTGGACTCCCAGGTGGCTCTGCACTAGGGCTCCCAGCTGCCCAGCATGCCCTGTTACTTATCCAGGTGTACTGATTCATGGTTAAAATCTGTCTGAAAACTAATGAAAGACTTGATTCATGAAGAAAGAATGAGATGGTAGAAATGGGTTTGGTTTTTCACAACTCCAGATTATGAAGACTTGCAAACATACGCAAAAGTACAAGGCACAGTAAAATGAACCCCCAGCTCATCATCACCAGCCTCAGCAGTTTTCCACACATGCCCAATCTCTTTCACTGCCCTCCCTGTGTATAATTGTGAAGCAAATCCCTCTTGGCATTCTGTAGCATGCGTAAAATTTTGAAATACCACTCTTGAAGTTAGGACTCCTTTAAAAAAACATAACCACAGTACCAATATCAGACCTAAAAGATTAACAATATTTCTTGAATGTCAAATATCCAACTGTCTCATAAATATCCTAAATGGCTTTTTAAAATACTTTATAATTTATGCCAGAAACAAAAATAAAGGCACCAGCCCATTATGTAAATCAGCGGTATAAATGAGAAGCCAAATGACTTGTGTGGTGCCCAAGGATTACAGCTAGTAAAACTGTCTACAGCCCTAACTAGGTGTCAGCAATGCTTTAGGGGCTCTACATATATTACCTCACTTAACCCTGTGATATAGGCAAATTACCAATAGAGCCATTGTATAGATGAAGAAACTGAGGCCTAAGGATGTTACCTACCATGTGCAAGGTCACCCAGCTAACCCAAACGTCCATTAGCCAATAAAGAGATAAACAAAATGGGGTCTATTCATACAGTGGAATATTATTCTATCATAAAAAGGAATGAAGTGCTGATACATGCAACAACATGGATGACCCTTGAAAACATTATGCTAGATGAAAGCAGCTAGACACAAAAGTCCACATATTGTATAATTTCATTTATATTAAATGTCCAGAATAGGAAAATTACAGAGACAGAAAGTAGATTAGTGGTTGCTTTGCGCTGGGGAGAGAGGCTGTGGGGAGTGACCACTAATGGGTCTGGGGGTTTCTTCTGGGGTGATGAAAATGTTCTAAAATTGTATTGTGGCAATGGCTGTATAACTCTGGGAACATTCTAAGAACCACAGAATTGTATACTTTAAAGAGGAGAAGTGGGTACTATGCCTATGAATTATATCTCAATAAAGCAGTTTTTAAAAAAGTAAACTATCAAAGGTTTAAAATTTATCAAACTAAGGAATATTTATTGATCATCTACACAGACACTATACTAAAAGTGGAAATACCCCAAATATTCATCAACTGACTAATGGATAAACAAAATGTGGTATATTTGTGCAATGTGGTATTATTCAGTAGTAAAAAGGAATGATTCATGCTACAACATGGACGGCCTCTGAAAACACTTTACAAAGTATAAGAAGCCAGACACAGAAGGCCACATATTGTATGAAACCACTTATATGAACCAGCCGGAACAGCAAATCTGCAGAGCCAAGCAGATCCATGGCTGCCCAGAGCTGGGCCCGGGAGAGGCAGGATGCGGATGGTTCTGGGGTGATGAATATGTAAAGTTGACTGTGGTGGTGGGTGCACACCTCTGCGAATACACTGAAAACCTCTGAATGGTATGTACACTTCAAATGGCTGGCTTGCATGGTACGAGAATTATATCTGAAAGCTGCTTTTTAAAAAGCAAATTATCAAAAGGTTTCAAATCGATCAAGTCAAGGACTATTTATTGACCATCTGCACAGGCATAAACAAGTTCTATATGAGTTACAAAACCAGTGCAAGACACAGACGCTGACCTCAGAGTGCTTACAGTTCAAGAGGAAAGGAACACATGCAGTGTATTATCATGCACTCCTGCTTTCTGAATCTGTGCCTTTTCCTTTAAGGGCAGTCAACTATCTGAACCACATTTTTTGATTCATAAAAGCTACTGGGCTAGAGTCTAACGAACATACGAGCTATGACAAGACCCATCCCGCTCCCCTTCCCTCCTGAGGCCTGCAGAGGTCATACTCAACTACAGGGTTACCTTGTGAGAGAGCAACCTAGAGGAGTCTTAGGGAGCTGAAGGTGGGCCTATTCATCTTATAATCAGAAAAAACTGAATAAATATTTCTGAATTAAACAGAGGCCAGAATAGCTTGACAACCCTAGGCCGAGCTAAGGCCACGAGGCCTGCGTCCTCCTTGCTGGGTTTAGGAAGGCCCAGGGTAAACAAACAGTACAGGTTTTCCTCAGCTATGGCTGCTGAAGGTGTGGTCTGTTCCCGTACTGCGAAGGCTGCACCCACTGGGCCACCTCCTTAGGGCCTCTAAGTTCTAACCGCAAAGGTCACTCTGCTTGAAGTGGCCTTGGGGACCTTACCAAGGAGACAGGCTGTGTTCTGTGCCCCACTCATTTGGCCACACCGTTCAGAGAAAGTAAGAGCATCACAGACCCTTGATGAAGACCAGGGAGGGAACTGCAGTCATGAAAACGTGCAGGCGTGTATTTAGAGGAGGGAGAGGAGGGCCACAGCAGGAGGCGCAACCTTGGGAAGGGACAGTTTGGGGATCTGAGGCTGCACTGAGTGACCATTGATACTGAAGAAAACTGAAGAGGTCCAGGAACTTGGTGGGTCACTTACAACCCAAAAGGCTTTCTAGAGACAGCATTTATCTTAAATTAGTAATGAGGTAACTGCTGTTGAAATCCACAGTGCCTGGTTACTAGGGACCTATGGCTCTAGGGCTCTGTTCTATGCTAAGGCTACTGGAACAGTGTCTAGCCCGATGTCCAGTGAACCCATGAAGCCCACATGCCATCAAGATTCTAAAATCTGGGATGCACATCAGAAAGATGTTTAAACTTTCCAAATATGTAAATTCAGCCAAATTTCATAACAAGGATTTGTGAAATTTTCAGATAATGGCAGCAATCAAAACTTAGAATTGTACTTAAGCTAACAAATATTTACTAGCTAAGACAGGACTACAAGTAATACCCTAGTCAGGTAAGTAGAGGCTCTCATTTTGCACATTACTAATAATGCATGTTTTCCTGAACTGCCTAGAATGAACACTTCATATTTGCATCAAGTGGTGTGGGCCCAAAGTGGCCTGGCAAATCAGGAGACAGCTTAGTAACATAACCCCGTGGTCAAGCTGCTTCAGTTAAACTCCCATGCTGTGTGAACCGCAGCCCCTAACATTCCAGAGGTCTCCTTACCTTTCACCACGTCAGCCACATTACAGGTGGGATCAATACTTCCAATATGTTTAGGATGAGCAGGATTAATATCACCACCAAACAGAAGAGCTAAACAAACACAAAATTGAAGGGAGAGATTAAAAACAAAGCAGGCTGGGATGGGTCAAGTAGAGAAATACAGGTTTATACATTTTGAAAGGATTCTCTTTTATAAGAATCATGTTCGCATCCACAATGATGTAAAGCAACAGAACACATACAGTGATGCGTGGCCAAGTGTACTGGACAACAAAGAAGGCAGGACGTGCTGTAAGACCTGCCACTGCAGTTATCAGACCCTAGGGCAGTGACAAGTGCCAGGTGTCTAACCCTTCCTCCCTGACCCACTGTGACTTGGATGAAAGAACTTACTTTTTACAACCACCTTCTCAGTACTACTCCAGACAATTATTCCAACATCGACTAAATGTTTAGAAAATACAGTATTTAGAAAGTGCAGTCTGCACCACTAAGCCAGGCTTGTAAAGTTTCTGTGGAAATTTCAAATGCTCCATCATGGAGACTGTCATATTACTATATACAAACAATACTTGCTCAAGCATTTTCAAAAGTACATTCAAATACTTTCACAATATACAAGATTGGCACAATTTTACTTCTGAATTAAAGCTACAAAGAGCCCTAAAGGAAAAAGGAATTTGAATCCAAGTGTTTCTAGGTGTGCTTATTTTTAAATCAAACAAAAATTGGGAATAACTTAGATTCCACAAAAGGAGAATGCTTAAATAGGAAAGATTTTTAATTATGAAAAATGGCAAATACAGTCATTAGGCCAATACATAAAGTTCCAACTGATTAAGTAAAAGAAAAACAGAGGCGTACAAGTTTAACCCATGATCTAAAAACATGTACATACATAGGTAGACACACATATTTAGGTCAGAAAGAAACTGTAGTTATCTAAGTAGTTCAGTTAAATAGTATTTAGGTTCTTTTTTCTGTTAAATTCCTGTGTGTTGTCATACATTTCTATTTTTAAAAGATATACATTTGGCATCAATTCACATTTAATAGTTGTGTAACATTCATTTATCCAAAGCAAATTAGTAAAATAAAGATGCTCTGTACATTTTCTGATTCAGTCTCTAGACATGAATGCTTTTCCATAAAAATTATGAAAATTGGGCAAAGAGACTATGCTGAAAATGAGCCCAAAAGTTTTTTATGGAGAGGATTTTAGTTGTTTTTTTCTCTTATCTGTCTATCAGCCTGGAGAGTGTGCTAAAACTCTCAGTATATGACTGATTTAACAGTTCGCTTCATCTGAGCTCACTGATCACTATGACACAAAAGATCAATTGCTTATATTGTCAACAAACCAGTTCAGTATTCCCAGTATCAATGTTTCTAAAACCAAAAAGGAAAACATAAAACATCCTGGAGGAAGACTAGAACATTCTCTGAGACACATGAAAGTACTGAGAGACAAATGCCTGGCTGCCATTAAAGCCCATCCCTCACCCGCCACCAGGAATGTAACAGCAGAGGCTTGAATGGTAGGCAGTGGTCCTGTCTCTAATATGAGCATCAAACCTTTCAAGGATTTCTTTTAACAAACAATACTAATGAATAGCTTTTTAATAGATAGGATTTACTTACGAGAAACTGAACTATCAATGCAAACAAAAATGCAGATCAAAAAATTAAAAGTCAAGCAACAGGAAAACATGAGGGAGGGATCACTCTGTTTACCATTTCAAAACTGGACCAAAACCCAACTTACTGTGCTGGTTAATAAGCATGCGGAAAGAGATGCGGTTGGTATAAAAACGATCCAGAAAATACTGGATGTTACTGCTAATGAATGGATCAAACCCAAACTTCTCCTTGTATTCAATTACTCCTTGTGCCATTGTAGGAACTACATCATTGTGTCTGTTTCTGACTTTAATCAGAACTTGCAGAAAGCTGTTGTGGGATGGAAACAAAAAATGGTTAGTCTTACTATATCATGGGCTAATGTGTAAACTTCCCAGCTCTGTTTCCAAACTATTTATCTGCTGGTATTTTCATAGGTAGAGACACCATTATTACTACATGCTACAAGGAAGTATTCATAGAAACTAAAATATTAACCAAGTTTTTGCTTGAAACTTTCCACATAAATTCTTCTTTCAGAGACACAAAAAGCAAAAGGGTCTAGGAAAGCAAAAAAGTGCTCAAATACCTTTATAGGAATTTACTGACTTTTTTGGATAAGTGATTACATATAATACAAGCTCTATAAATGTTCACTGAATAAATAATTGCAGAATATACGAATATTTCTTCTGACAATGCAAGGACAATCCAAAACAATCTCTAAGGATTTATTATAGAGTCTCAAAGAAATAGCTTCCATGAATAAATAATATAAAACTTTTTAAGGGTAAAACTTGGTAATAAATTTCTCACATCACTAAACTATAGTGATGAGATGCAGATAGAACAAAGCAATTAAAACAAACCCACTCGAGTATTATGGTGTATTATTGTAAAGATGCAGATGAAAAATATATTAAGAATGGTAACTAAGAATAGAAAGACAAGTCAAAGGAACCAAATTAAAAGCTTGGAACCAGGCCTAAAGGTGAGTATGTGTGTATAAAAATTTAACATACTGATATAGTGACATTTCCAGACAGTAATAAAACAATCAAATTAGTTGGGACAGTGGGCTAACAATTTAGGTCATATACCAATTTGAAGGTTTACATAAAAAAAATGGGTTAAAAGATTTAGATGTAAAAGAATGACATCACAGAAAAGATTAAAATATCAGGTGAATAAGTATATAACCTTGGGGTAAGGAAGACTGTTCTAAGCATAATACCAAAGGCAGAAGCCGTGAAGAAAAAAATGATATGACTATGAAGAATTCCAGCAATTTTATAGGCATACACATTATAAAGTCAAAAAAACACAAAGTGAAAACTGGGAAAAACATATTTGCAAGAGTTACTAACTGTACCAAAGGAAATGAAGAGCACCCTAACAGAAAATTAGGCAAAGGATCTGGTAGCCATAGAAAATTTACTACAGAGGAAATGCAAACACCAGTAACTCCATCTTCAAAATAATAGAAGAAAACTTTTCCACTTATCAGCTGACAAAGACTAACCACTGTCGGCTAGAATGTGGGAGCACAACTGACACACTTCTAGGGGCAACTTCATAACATACATCACAAGCCTAGGGAAAGTCATTGCACTCCCAGGAACTGATCCTAGGAAAATAATGGGACAAGGCCAATGGCTGTGCTGGAGAGCTGCTCCTTAGAGCACTGTTTACAGTAGCAAGAAAACTCCAAACCATTCTAAAACCCAATGACAACAGGTCAAATCACATGACTTATCTTTAGCTGGACCACTGTGAAACTATTAATGATGGTGTAGCTGTATAATATATACACTGCTACTTTTATAAAAAATATTCTGCACATACAGAAATATGCATGCATATAGAGATAGGGAAAAAGTATGGATGGAAGGAAAATGTTAACAGTGGTTGTCCCCCTAATACTGAAAATCTGGAGTGGCTTCCTTTTTACTTATCTGAATAGCCTTGTTTTTCTCAATGATGAAATATTTCTGTAACAAATACATATGTACAAAGAGAATAAAGATGAATACATCAACTTGAAATTAGGTCATAATCATTCATAAGAGATTTTATAATGGACAATTTGTCCTTTACATAATGTTCTTTCCAACATACTCAGAAATTAAATATTGCTAACGTGAAACGTTTCTTTATAGTAGAGAAGTGCCAAAATTCATCTGAAGGGGGGAGACTTGCCTCAATGGTTCAATTCTCAGAATGCATCCCCCATCTTCTGGGGCTCTTCTAAATTTTATCATTATGCTAAACATGCCATCCTCTAAGCCACTTCCACTTTACTTAAATGACTTCCCCGTCAGTGACTCCTATACAGCTTCTCACTGAACAAGCAAAGCCATTCTGAGTAAAACCACTCACTCAACTTTCACTCCTTCTTTGGCTGTAAGCATCAGGCTTCTAAAATCCCAATTATCCTAACTAGCAGTGTGAACCTGGGCAAGTGAGCAACACTCACTGAGTAGGAGCTATCGTCAATATGATCTCACACACACCAGACCCAGCACTTGGCTGTTTACAAAGCAGGCCCCTGCCCACAAATTGCATCTCACTGATAACCTGCTCCAGAAACTGAACAGGACTCCGGGAAACATAGAGCAGAAATTTCATATTATATACGTCCACAAATCCATATCCTACCATTTAAAGCTAGAGAAGTCAGTCCTAATTTTTAGGTTATCAGCCAAACTGTAACCAGCTAAAGACTCTTAAGGAGACAAAGCTTCTGGATTTGATTCATTTCATTTTGATACCTTACATGACAGCAATGCCTTATAGCAAGGAAAACACTGCATATGGGGCTCTAATCCACTGCCTTCCTTGTACATTTCATAGATCCATTAACAAGACACCCAGCAGAGTATAAAACAGGTCAGCATTCTTTTCCCCTTATATTTTAATTTACACACTAAACTTGAGCTAGCTACTCATGGCTCATACCAGCAGTGCTGGCAGTATGGTACATTTTAAAGACCCATGTACTAAGGAAAAGGAAACATGATTTACAGATCTAGCTCTGGTACTAACTTACATTACGATCTTAGGTGAGTCACTTCACATCTCTGACCTCGGTTTCCTTATCTGTGACTTTAAGAGTTGGGTTAAATGCCTTGATCTAAGGTCACTTGTATCATGTGGTGTCTCTTAGTTCTTTTTATGGAACCCTTATTTGTAAGGTATATGGTGCCACAATTAACGTGGGGAGAAATTCCTTGACACGACAGGGCTGCCAAAGGCATTCACTTATGTGTACATGAACAGCAGGAAAATAACCGGAAGAGGGTACTTAATCTCTCTTGGGGGTTAAAAAAAAACCACCAAAGGTAGAGTTAGCATTTTCTGGTAAAATGAAAATAAAAAAACAAATATTTTCCATCAGCATGGGAATTTAACAGTCTTCATGCACAAGAGCACCAACAGAATTCAGGTTGTTACATTAAAAGCCCACTCTTCTATGCTGCTCCAAAATGAAAGCATTACAGTTTTTCTGAGCTCAAATGCAGTATCATATTGAAAATTTAAAAACAATTGTAAATGACTGAGTAGACAAACTCATCTATCTACAAAGGCCATTGCATTCTTAAAACGACCACTAGGTGGAACATTTACTGCAATATTTACAGTGAGTGCCCCATACCAGTTCACCCTCAGTAAAAGTGTTAAGAATTAGATCATGAAGCATAATCTTCATGAAGTGTTATTATTCCTTTTGTACTGTTATATTCTTAACTCAAAATTTTTAAAAAATGCGATGTTGAGTGGTGAGCCATTAACAAACCTAATGCCTCTTAGGTTAATGTCCAAATTATACTTCTCAGTTCTTAATGACATGAGTTCCATTTACCCAAACACATTTTACCTGGATGTTTTACTTTCAGGTAAGTTTGGCACCATACTTACTTATCCAAGACCTTTGGGTCCTCAGGGCTCTTATTCTCATATTCCAAAAGCTCAAGAAAACTTTGCATATACCTAAAAAAGGAGAGTTACTGAGTTACCTGCCTATCCCAACATCCATTCCTCCTTTCCCTCTTCCTGAGAGTACCCCACATTTTCACCCAGGCATCCATCCCATCCCATCCCCTCACCATGTAGCCCAAGTGCCTCAGGGGTGGCTGGTGCCTCACAGCTCCTGTGTGGCCTGGTTTTTCTCTGGGTAAATCTTATTTCTCTTGTCACTAATTACTAATTAATCCAATAGTCCTGGCCTAAGCCTGTCACTGTGTCAAATTCCCCTGAACACAGAATTGGTTCAGGGATGGGCATACTGCCTCAAGTTAGGCCAGAAAAATAAGAAAGACCACCTTCTGGAGGTCTTTGGGACAGAAGTAAACTTGCTCCACTTTTATACAATGTGCTGCTATGTGGACATGAAGTCTGCAACTGCTGCAGCTATTCTGTCGCCATGAGGAAATGCAGCCTGAAAATGAAGCTGACACTGTGGGAAAATGGGCTTTGAAAACCTTATGAAATCTTTCAATCAGACTGACACTGAAAGTTTATCCTATGGCTGGATCTTACAGTTACACAAGCCAGGTCATTGCTTAAGTTGGGTGTAGTTGGATTTTCTGCAGACCAACAAACATATTTTAACTGGTACACCAAGTCTATAGTCTGATTATCCAAAAAACTGCATGTAAGTTGTAAGAACACATGTGTGACACTGCAGTGCATGCTAAGAACTTGGAAACTAGAAATAAAGAAGGTTCCTTCTCAGAGTTAAACTTATTTCATCAACATGTAATGGGGGAGAAGGAATGTCTCTTAGGCCTTCTGGAATAGCTTCTGGATTAAGAATAGCTGCATATCTCAATCAGGGCCAGTATAAGAAATAACGTGTCCAACATAAATATCTGGAGAACACAGAAAAGTGGGATCCAGAGAGACACATTACTATAGCAGCTACATCCAGACAGAACCCACTGGATCTGGTAGGGGTTCAGAGATTCCAATTACTCAGAGGTGTGTGATCTGTGCTTTGGGCATGTCCAGAAAGAATTACCTCTTATTTTAATTATTTCTAACAACTAATTACCAGTAATCCTATGATCCAACTTTAGAGAGAGGACAAAGGCACTACAAGCAACCAAAAATGACTGTTAAGCATGTAAATACATTAACAGGAATGACATTTTATTAATCAGCCTCACTTGAAATTTGTGACAATGCTTAATACTAAAGTATGTTCATTTCTGGGTATACTTTCTGAAGGCCTCTAGAGGGGCACATAAGGCTATGGATTAGATATTGTTGAAATCATCAGGTCAAACCTCTCTGAGAGGCCAAAGACAGCCATCCACAATGATGGTCTCTGTCCTGCCACATGCCAACAGAGTTTTAGAGGGGCACCCTGTCATTTCCAATGTGCATAGGTCATTTAAAGATCAAAGTCATAAATGATGAGGAGTTGAAGATTATGCTGAGCTTCCTAGCCTAAAAGTCAAGAGAATCAGGAGAACACACTCTGACTGATGTGGGGTTCACAGCCTGTTATACATAAAATTCACTTTTAAGAGGAGAAGGAAATGACAACTGAGCACAATGCATGATCCTCAACTGGATTCCTGTATGGGGAGAGAAACTGCTTTAAAAAAAAAAGAGCGCTATTAAGACAATTAATAAACTGAGAACAAGTTCTACACATTAGAAAATACTACTGGAGCAATGTTAAATTTACAAATTTGATAGTCACACTCTGATTTTCTAAGAGTTGTTCTAATAATGTGCTAAAGTATTTAAGGGTAAAGGGGCATGATGTCTACCATCAACCCAAATGGTTCAGAAAAAAATGTTTATGTGTAGCGTGTGTGTATGTGTATCATGTATACATGTGTGGTATACCATAAATACACAGATATAATATAGAGAGAGAGAAAGGGAGAGAATATGAGTGATGGAATAAATGTTGCCAAAGGTTAAAGGACTATGGGAGTTCTTGCTAGTAGTTTTGCAAACCCTTTACTTATACAGGAAATTATTTCAAAATTCAATGTTTAAAAAAAGAAAAGGAAGAAATGGCATGCATCAGTTTGGAATAGCTATTGAAGAGGAATGGTGAGGAGATAAGAGCCAATACATTTTACTTTGAGCCTGTGCTTGGTCAGCAATTCACTTTGAAGCCCCTCAAGTAACTTCCCATGAGCAACAGTAGATGTTTAACTGTCACTGTGACCAGGAGACTTAAAGGTCATTTAGCCTACTTGGCATCCCCACCAGAGTGGTCTCCAATAGTGACTATGTACCTTCTGCTGGAAAATTTCTATTGATGGTCTTGAAGCAATAAAGAGGTCTCATGCAAACAAGTCCTTGCTGCTCCTTCTGAAACAAGCTACGAGTTTAGGGTAAAATGAAACTGAGCACCTGACTATGAGATCAAAGCCACTGTTGCCATCTCTCTAATCTCCGCTGGGTTCCAGGGCTGCTGCGCCTGCCTCAGTGAGGAGCTGCTGTTTGGCTGGGACACGGACAGGATGCTGTGTTTCTAAGACCATCCAGTATGGCATTTTTCAGACCCCTCACTCTCAGCTCTAAGAATTTCTTATATAATTAATGTTACTGCAGAATGACTGCTGAATGCCCATTCTCTTTCAGTGCCTGGCCTCTATTAACCCTTTTAATGCAAACTAATGAATAGTCCCACTCCCCTTGCATCTGTCTGTATCATCCCGTTCCCCTAAAATGCTCTCCCTGCCCCTGCCCCTGTCCATTCCATGCACCCATCAGGGGCAGCGCAAAGGCGTAAAATATATTTCATGTTTTTCATGGGGTAAATACAGCTCAGCAGGCATTGCTATTTTTCCAGTCTGGATCTCCTTTAAATGACTTTGTTTGAAAATGAGTACCGCCCTCAAGGGACTTCTTTAACAGGAAAACAAGGGGGTCAAGGCTGAGACTTGATCAAAGAGGCACAGCGCCCTATCCAAAGGATTGGAGGCCGGCTCACCTGGGTCACTGCTCTGCTATTCTTGGACATTGTTCTGAATTTCCCAACTCTTTTTTCAATGAGCAACCCCATTCATAACCAAAAAAATAGAATGTGAAAAGTCAAGGAAGTATCTAGTAGAGTTTAGAAGTATTTTCATTAAGACAATCTTAAATTGTCAGTTCAAAAAAAAAACACAACAACAAACCTTAATAGCTTGGAAAACCTGGCTATCCTGAATGACTCATTCCCACACAGGCAATGGGTGTACCTTTAGGGAGAACAGTCCCAATCCCAAGTGTTCAGAGTGTTATGGGATGAGCCAACTGAAGCCACATATTCACTTACCAACTCTGAACCAACCTCACTGAAGGGCGGTTAAGCAAATTATCTGGCAGCAGATTGACTTCCCTCATGGTGTTAGCCAGGCGCACAGGAAGCTCCTTTCGCAGAAACATATAGGAAGTTTTCTCACATGCATTATCTCTTCCTGTGAAGAGATGAAAAATGTAACATGATTTTACAGTCCAACAGATGGAGTAACAAAGTGCTCTTGTGGTAGCACAATTATGGGCTGGGAAGAGAAAATTTAATAATCCTGCATTCTTCTAGTTAAATTTTTGTCCTCTGAAATAGCAAGTTTAAAATAATTTAATCAGAGTAGAAAAAGAACATTCATTTCAAGAGGCAACCTTGAAAGCAGTTTTTTTTTCTCCTGAACACAAATAGGTTCCTTGCGTTACCAGCGCTGATATCAAAGTGACCTGGGATGTAATCTGAATTTGTTTTCAAATAAACACTGTGGGGAAACTACCAAGCACAAAAGTAGGAGAACATGCAAATCCACTCCTGTTCAGAGGGCTTTCCAGAAGGCAACAGATCCATTCATTCTACAAACATTCACCTACTGTGTGCTGACTGCTGCCTGAGATTTTCTTTGAATGTGTTTCTTTAGTAATCAGAGCTCTGTTACTCTGGGAAGCAGCCAAAGACGTGCTCTGACCAAGTCACAGGTCTTGAGATGTGCCACCGAGACCAGCTCACAGGCATGCTCAGAGGTGGAGTGATCTCCTGTGGCACATCGTGGAGGGTAAGACACAGGGCTAGCTATAAAAACAGAGGTCAAGGAGTTTTCTGTGGTTGCCCTGTGCTGGTCGTGCATAAAATTTACATAACTGGGACACAGTGCAAGAAAAGGTACCCTGCCACCTGAAAGAGGAAACCTGAGTCCTTCCCAGGCTGCTTGGTGACCAGAGTATTCCTGACAGGAATTGTCTTGCCCCAGGCCTCCCAGCCCTGCTGCAAACCCAGGGAAAAGCCATGAGCTCTGGGGACAGAAATGTGCACCAGCCCCAACTCCTCCATTTTGGGGGTGGGAAACCTTTGGTAAGCTTTTTAACCTCTGAATCTCAGCAGCCTTTATCTATAAAATGGGGATGAAACTTCAGTTTTTGTAAAGACTCAATGCAATAATGTGTACAGACCTGACACAGAGCAAGAGTTTAATAAACACTAGTCCTTCTTTGGTCTGTGATACTTATGGGGACATCCCAACTGCCTCACACGCTATCATAGGCCTTCCTGAAGCTCCTTATTCCCTGGGGGCTGTTGGAAAATGGGCACCCTCGGGGCCAGGCACAGGGAGAGGGAAGCAGGACTCATCTAACAATTTTTTCCTCCAAACTCCTCCTTCTTCCAAATGTGATAAAGGCAGGGAAATAGAGATTCGGAAGAAAAATCCAATTTTCTAACACTTTCAGCCAAATTCTGGTTTACTCCTTTCCTTTCCCCACCAGGTAAGATTGGAAATAAAAGAACTTGCTTTTGAAAGTCATCTGCAGAAACTTTCTTACCCCTACTGAACCCTGACTCCCTTTCTCCATTTTCAAAAAAGTTAGAACAAAAGAGATAAGTCTTAAATAATCCATCCCTTACTTCCCACGTTTAGGTGAGTATATTGAAGGCCTTCGGCATATCTTTAACTAAGGGAAATACTCCCAGTAACGGAGAAGGGGTATAATATCCAAGCAATGACCTTCCAACATCTACTATGCACATTTATTTGGCCTTGGATGATAAACATTTAAAATGACTGTGGCTGCTTTGCTTCAGGTAATATTTATCATTCCTAAAATATTCTGTATAAATATGTTTATAGATGAATCGTTTTGACTATCCTAAAAATACTGATATTTAAAATCAACTCATAGTGAAATCTCATTATAAAATGAAAAACCTACTTCTTGAGTTACAATGTACATCTAAATGTTCATATGCCAGGAGAAATATTTTGCATCCTGATTAAACAGAAAGGACTATTTTTTAAAGCCTAACCGAAATACCGACACTCACCCTGTAGGAGAAGGAAGTTAGGGAATGGGGAAGAAGAACCCTGTACTGTTGAACTGGAAGCGTCAGGATGAACTCAGGATCTGAAAAACTTACCTGACTTTTTTGGGTAGTGAAAGCTTACATGCTTAACTTTCTACATCAACAGTCTAGCAGGAGCAGCAAATGACAAGCATGGGCACAGGGTAAAGAGTCTGGGCCATGAGAAGTGGGGGAGGGCTAGGCGGTTTCAGAATGTAAAGGTGTTCAGATTTTAGGAAGGTAAAAGGAGGACACACATCCATTGCATAATACATTCTATTATACAGACAACAGAGCTGCCATGAAATCTGTCAGCATTTACCGTGAGCAGGATAAAGACCATGGCCTCAAGCCAGTGCAGGTCAGGTTTTGCCACCAAAGGTACGAAGGAAAACTTCAATTTTTTGGAGACTTTTTGGACTTCAGAATTCAGATAAAAGACTACAGTCCTGCAGAACAGCAATGCCAAGATCAGGTGCCAGACATAGACTTGGGTTCAAATCCTGACTTGAGCACCCACAAACGTCACAAATGTGGGCGTGTGCCATTACACCATCCATAAAATAAGAACAGCACCTGTTTCGTAGAGGTTGTGCTGAGGGTTAAAAAGGGCTTAGCATTTATCATGAATAAGTTCTTAAAATTTAGAAGAAGGCGCTCATTAAGTAGCAATCATTAATAATGCCGGTGATGACAAAGCAGAGCAGCCTGAGGCCATGGGGTGCCAGATCAAAGAGTCTGATACTTGCTAAGCCCTGAAAGCTCGACTGCTTTCTGCTTCAGGGCAGTCATCTGTGCTCATTTGATGATTCTACATAATTAAAAAAGGATTTAAAAGGATTACAATATGTTCCATGTTCTTACCATCCATCCACTTTTACTTATTTTAAAATAAAAGGTCTTGATGCTTAAATGGGTCAACTCTGCACTAACTATAAAACTCAACTACTCAGCATGGCCTAAGATAACTAAATTTCAGGAAGCATTTAACCTAGCCTCCTTGGGTTATCACCTGCTTATAAACAAGCATAGAAATTAACTTTATTTGCCTCTATATTCCCCATGGCACTGATCAGAGTGCCTCACTTTTGGTAGCCTCTCAATGACTCACTGGAAGAATAGGTAATACTTTCAGAAGTTTGTATTTTAAAAAAAAAAGAAACCTGAAAATTCTCAGGTTTTCCCTCCTACATTCTAATTTAGCTTTAGAGATGAATTCTTTGTACTCAGATACCTTAATTATACATCAGCTTAAACAGGGGGATAAGTCTTTTTTAGTTAATTAATGAACCTAAAAATAAATATGAAATGCTTGATTTTTTTTAACTTTTCTGTGGTTTTCCTCATATAAGTTGAAAGCGTTTTATCATATATATTAATGCTGGATACTTGGTTTAAATGAAACGGTCCCAACAATCCTTTCTTCTTTTTTTTTTTAGTAAACTTGCCAAAAAGAAACTTTTGATTTTAACTGAATGTCTGCTCAAAAGGCTTCTATTTTTATAAGTCTTCTGGCATACTGAGTAGTTTCCAGGTATTCACCTTCATTTTTTCCCCACTCACTTGACGGTCTGAATTAATTTTGATTTTCTGTTTTCATTCTGTATTTCTCTATATACTTCATGATATTTAAATACAACAATCAAATTTTACTCAAGTATCAGTTCAGAAGATGACAAAGAACGGGTGGGTGATGGGCACAGAAAAATCTTAGTGATCGCAAATAAGTCATTGGCTTAAATACTCATGTGTATTCCTTCATCAGTTTTTCTTCCTCGCTTGATGACTCTTTAATTCTCTTCTGTTTTGTTTGTTTTTCATGCTTTGCCCTATCCGTGAGAAGTTGGAGACAACTACTACATTTGCAAAGGGTATGATTTGCTTTGTCTACAAAGGTTCCACCCAGCTTGCCGTCTACCCAGACATAGGGTGAATAGACAGAGAACCACAATTGGCTTCTGATTTAATGCAGGGAGCCCTCTCAGTGATAGTCACCGAGGAGTCCAGGAGCATTGGACTTGCCTTCTGAGAGCAAGAGTTCAGACTTAATTCTTTATAACTGATTTCTGGTGAATCTCTGGTACTCTGTTTGACTACTTCAGAAAAAAATTGATTATTTCTTTGGTTAATGAAGTACCGTGATAATGGGTCTTATAATTAAAGCAGAGGGCTGAGTTCATGCTCCCCACTAAAATGTAGAGTCTCCTGTCTGAATTACTTGAAGGCTATCTTTGTTCACATCTTTCAGCTTTAATACTTGGTTGGGGAGGGCTTGGGAGTGGGAGTAATGGAATCAGGGAGTGGAAAAGGACAGCAGTAAGTGAAAAAATAACTAGCAAGCCACCAAAACCCAATAGAATGACCAGCTCATTCTGGAAATACTGTCAAATAAATGAGTTTGCAATGTATTTTTACCATTAACCATGTTAAAATGGTAAAATAATAACTGAAAAAATAACATGGTAGGGGCAGCTTTTTGATTTTTCTCCACTTTTATTTATAAGATTTCAATCTTTTGAAAACATTGAATCCTAGAATCATAAGTAATTAATTCTTGGACTTACCAGGGCTAAACAATGATTAATTGACAAGGCCTTCAAAAGAAGCAAGCTCAAGTGTGAATGGAGAGCTACCAAATGATGGTGAATACCCTTCTCAAAAGACTTCCTTCATATTTTTTTTTGTTTCATTCATACTCTTAAAATGTTTGTTTTACTCCATGTCCAGAAGTACTATTTCACTACCTGCGAAGTTGAACAGTTTTCCTTTGTTTGGGAAAACTTACTCCTGAATTTAAAAGATCAAACAGAAGAGGTAGCAGATTTGGAGGTCTACCAAACTCGAGGTGGTCTCCACTCCAGGCTGGACAGTGTTTGGGTTATTATTACTAACAGTGAGCCAGAAACTTCAGAGCCAAAGAGCCAAAGGTTGGGGATTTCCCACACCCCTTACTCCCTATCAGACCCAATAGCCCAATAACACCCAGCTATTGCACTACTTTCTGCCTAGTGTCTACTTTATTATGCTCACAGCTGCTGTGGGTCAGGAATTCAGACAGGACACAGGAGGGATGGTTTGTCTGCGACCTCAGCTGGGAAAACTCAAAGGCCGGGAGCTGGG